TGCCGCCACCGTGACCTCTGGGGACCCCCTCCCTCAGAGGGAGCTTCAAGTGCCTTTCTCTCCAGACCGGAGGACTGAGGTGGGGCCCTCCGGCTGCGGGGAGGGAGGAATACTCTGCCTGGTGTGGGGACACTGGGTTCTGACAGTCGAGTCCCTCTCTGCTTCTCCTGTGGGGCTGGGGCCCTGGGACGGGGGGCCACCCCCCATGCCTGTGCTCCGCCAGAGGGGCTGGTTTGGGGTGAACTGGGTAGAAAGGGGCTGGCCCCCCCCAGGGTGCTCCTAGACCCCTGGACACACCTCTGCATGGTGGTCAGGGCATTGCCGGGTGGGGGCAGCCGCAGGCAAAGAGTCCCAGATGCACCTGCCGCTGGGTTGCCTGCCGCCACCCCTCCCACCCCCCAGCCCCGCTCAGGAAAGCCAAGCGAGCCTGGTCCTGTCCTGCAGGTCCTGTATCTGCCCTCCCAGTCAGGCCTCTGCTGCCCGAGCCCCTGCTTGGATTCCCCACCACTCCCCCCACTGAAAGGCCACAAGCTCACTTGTTCACGATCACCTCCCCTTGGCAGAAGCAGGGGGTTGTGGGTTCACTCACTGCTGTATCACAAATGCCTAGAAATGCTGCTGCCATGTGACAGGCACTCAATAAAAGTTTGTGGACTGAGTGGGCTTACTCCGTGAGCGACAGACGTGGTTCTGGTCCTCAGGGCCTTCTCCCCAACAAGGGGGACAGAACCCAGTCCCACAAGGGGCCAGGAGGGCGCATCCTGGTGGTCCCAGGCAGCCACGTGGGAGCCAAGGACTGATGGGACTCCAGGGCCGAGAGGCCAATGGCAGGGACAGCTGAGCACAGGCTGCTTGCAGAGCCTTGCCGGTTCTGGGACGGAAGAACGGTGGTGTGGCCAGAGCCTCATAGAGGCAACAGAGGCCTCGAACGCTGGTTTCTAAACCCCCTTCTGGCTCACGTAGGGATTAGGAAAGGGGGTGTGGGCTCAGGAATGAGGAAGGAGGCCCGAGCTTTGGCAGAACATGAACTGGCAACAGAAGCCAAGGCTTAGGCCGTCTCCCCTGGGCAGACCCTACCTTCCTGCCACAGGTGTGTTTACTGGTTCTCAGAGGACCCCATGTCAGACATCTGGGCAGTGGGGCTGGCCCTGAAGAAGGTGCCAGAGAAAGTTGCCTCTGTTTCTCTTAACCACAGGCTCCTGCCTTCCGCCTGCCGGAGGGCACCAGGGTTTGCCGACTCCCGTCCAGGGTGATGGCTGCGGGCTCTAAGCCTCAGCCTGAGCTGGAACAGGACGGAAGTCCCCGGAAGATAGCTGTTCGGTGGGGCCACAGGATTAAATGCTAGTGCCCAGGGCCCTGGGAGCTTGACCGGCTCTGACACCCAGCAGAGCCTCCTAGGCCCACCCTCAAGCTGCTGTGAGGTTCTCAAGGGTGGCAGTGGAGGCTGGGCCCTCCCCCTGCAGGAACATGGCCAAGGGAAGGAGCCTGCTGGGCTTGGCTGGTGCCTAGAAGCTTCTGGCAGCAAGACCCTCTGGATGGGCAACTGAGACACAGCAGGCACTCTATTCAGGGCCCAGGAAATCTGGTTGTTGAGATCCTGGGAGGGGTTTTGGGGAATTTCTGTGCTAGGTCTAAGGAGCACCCAGAACATGGGGGTGGGGATGCCAGTGTCCCCTGGCCCCCTAACCCAAGTGCTGTTGGCCGTCTGTGACTTTGTTGGGCTGTGAGAGCCCACACTCCAGGAACCCCCCACCCCCAGGCTGAATGGCTGTCATTTGAATGGCTCTTCCTCCCCCTGGGCAGTGAGGGCCATGTCTACCCCTAAGCAGCTTCAGGCATGAGACAAGGGAGTCCCACAAAACCAGGCCAACCGTTAGGACCTTCTTGTTGTTCTGCAAAGACCTTTACTGGACGGTTCCTTCCAGACTGGAAGACACACACCCGCAGGCAATGCACGGGCATGCTCCAGGCTATCCACACCTCACAGGGAGGAACTCTGGGCAAGACTCTGCCGGCCCCTGGTGAGCACAGCGGGCGGGTGGGCTCCAGCGCCCTCACTTCTCCAGAGGTGCATAATTGAGCAGCTTCTCGATCAGGTCCACGTGGGCCAGCAGCATGCGACGGCAGCAGTAGCGCTTCAGGCCAAGTGCATCCAGAGCGTCCCTGTGGGCAAGGACAGCAGGCCGTGCTCTGTTCATCCAGGCTCTTCTGGGCAGATGGAGGGCCCTGCCCAGGCTCGGGCAAGCCACACTCGGCTGCCGTGGGATGGTTCCAGCTGGGCTCCACAAGTCAGGGAGGGAGACTCCAGGAGCACCGCCCCACCCCCCGTCTCTGTCTCATTTCTCAAGCCAGTTAGAGTTGTCAATTTTGCCAGGGACTGAGCCCCAGTCACCCTGAACACTGCTCCGGAGGTGGCAGGTTGGGACAGAGCAGGCCAGGTTGGGAGGTCCCTGACGGTGGTATGCTTGCAAGGGGGTCCTGTGCAGGCTACCAGCCACTCACTCACACTCTGGACATTGGAACAGACTCATTAGTACCCGACATGAGCACTCAGCCCATCCCGGGCCTCCGCATTCATCCAAAACATTCAAACCCCAGGCCCCGGGGGGTTTGAATGTGGTCAGGACAGGGGACTGTCCACACAGGAGCCAAGAGTCAGACTGTAGTGGCAACAGGGATTCAGACAATATTGTGGTGGTAACTGCAGTGTTAAGGAGCGAAGCCAGAAAAGAGCCCCCGCCGCCCAGCACAGCGTGATACACATGGCTATGTGGCCAGGAAGCTTGTTCTATATCCCCAAGGGGCAAATGGTTTTGCCAAGACACGGGGGTGGGTCTAACGGCAGAGAGAGGAGAGACAGCAGGACAGGGAGGAAGCTGACGACTTAGGTGCCATGACTTGC